CGAGAAATAATTGAAATTAGGAAGTGCAGAGCTTTGTGGCTGCCTTCTCATAAAAATCTTTCTTTTTATAAAAATTACATTGAATTTAGTTTTTATGTGATATATTATGTTAGTTTTGAAAATCGAGTCTTGAAATGTGAGATGCGTACTCGTGACGGTGCACCGTGTTTCTTCCATTGAGTACAGCGTTGTGGCGGTCGTTAACACGAGGGCCGAACCGTTAGGTTGGTGAAAGTGACGCTGCGGGGGAGGGAAGGAGGGGTTAAGCCTGAACATCCGAGTTTGCGCTCTGGGTTGACTCATGTGAGGCCGCGAGCACAAAATACCGTTGGCGTAACTTCCGAGGAGGCTAGCTAGCGTGCCTCAACGGAAGCAGGCAGCCAACCTGAGAATTCTTGTGTGGCGTAAACCAAGGCGGCCTGCGAGCCCGCGCAGTGGCGAGTCTACTATGGAAGCTGGTGGGGGTGTCCAGCCTCAACTATTAACGCGGCGCCATCTGCGCCCGCGTCTCATTCAGTTTCTTTGCATCGGTCGCTTGTACGTGGTATGCTACAGAGGAGGTGTAGCAGTGAGGGCGTGAGATGTCCGGAGAGTAAGGGCCCAGACAATCTCACGTGCTGTAGGCAGCACGGTCGCCAACGACTCGGTTTAACTTTTGGCGTCAGCCATGTGACTGGTAAATTGTCACGGGAACTAGAGGTCCGACGCGGCATCACGCGTGGGCTTGTATTTTCCTGCGTAAAAAGCATGTGTTCGAATAGGAAAAGGTTGCCGGAAGTGTTTTATATTAGCAATTACCTCATTGTTAAGCTTGTACATAATCTTTGAAATATTATTTATTTCGTTATTGAAATTTATTTCTTATTTCACTCGTCACAACGTGATTTCCTTGTTTTGGCGAACTGCACTTTAATCCATTCTTAGGAAAATCGTTCTTTAGCGCAAAAGGCTATTGAAGCCCAGCGGTCTCATCAACTTTTATTGGTATCCAACTTTATTAAAATCAATTTTAATTTCTTATCGATTTTTTCTTTTTCAATTTTCTAGTTCAGTTTACATTCGCGCGGGGCGCAGTGAATATTATCTCACGGATTTCGAGTCAAGCCAAATTCGGGAAAACGAACTGAGGAGGCCGTTGCGATAGATGGGCGGCGAAGCGATTGATCAATTCAATTAAATCCCTTCGTTAGTCACAAAACTCGGCCTAACAGATATTGCCGTAAGCCACGGAACAAAACTTCGGTACCGGGCAAGGGATTTTTAAAACACGGACATTTGTAATTCTAAATTAATCGAATTTTCTATAACATGAATTCGGCATTATTGGCCCTTGCATACGTGTGAATGAAAATTCACTGTAGCAAAATATCGCTTATCTGTCAATGTTTTTTTCAAAAGGCCTCACACTGTTGCACTGGGGGCCAGATTTGTCTCTCGATGGCCGCTGCTTCCTGTAACTTGCAGAGTCTATCGAGCGTTGCGAAGCAAGGCTAAGTGCAGCGATGTTCTGGTTAGGATTTTTAGGGGAGGTCATGTTGCGCATGCGATGAGACGACGCCAGATCGAGGAATTTCTCTTTATTGGTGAGTGACTTTTATTCTCGTTACTGGGTGGTGAAGGCAAATATGAAAGAAATTGCAACTGAATATCAGTCCTCTGAAACGCATTTTGCGGGTCTCCTTTTAGTTTGTTCGCGATTTGGGCTAAGAAATATTGGTCAAGAATTTACTCTCCGGGCTGCACGGAGAAGTGTATCTTTAAAGACAACGAGCATAAAAGCTCTGGCGGAGTGAAGAATATATAACTTAGTTGTTGGTTTCTGGCTCATATTTTAAGCGTCATCGTAAATTGAGTCCTTCGTTCTTTTAGTGAGGTGCTCCTTTTTCATTAGTTTTATATGTGAAAGGTAATCTCATTGATTCAGGTGAAGGTATAATTCTAACCTGTTTTAAATAAATAGTTCGAAAGATTTTTTTCGCATTCATTAAGTTCAAGAGGCTGTTGACTGACGTGGCATATCAATAAGCTGAAACCCATTCCAAAGAAAACAAGGTTAAAATGCTACATCGAAAGAAAAAAATTGGAGAAGACCAATGAATGGGCGATATTCAGTTGATTGTCATAACACTATTCTTGATTGGCAATAGTTGGAAGTAACAGATGTGCTTTTCTTCCACAAATCGTCTATTGAGGATTGTTAGAAATGAACTCTCGTAGTGTAAATATAGAACTAATTTGAGTTTCCCAGTGAGACACCTCTAAAACCTTATTCAACTCGGCTTACTACGCCTCTTTCAGCTATCACAGCTCCGCCTCCCGTCGCCATCCGCGTACAGCGTCCCCGCACCAAACAACGTCTCTCCGCCGGTCCCGCTCCGCGTCCCGCTTCGCGTCCCGCTCCGCCGTCCCGCTCCGCCGTTCCCTGTCGCGTCCCCGCTCCGCCGTCCCCGTACCGCCGTCCCGCTCCGCCGTCCGCTCCGCGGTCCCGTCAGCCGTCCCGCTTCCGCGTCCCTCCGCCGTCCCGCTCCGCCGTTCCGCTCCGCCGTCACGCTCCGTGCCGCCCCGCCCGCGTCCGCTCGCCGTCCCGCTCCGCGTCCCGCCCGCCGTCCCCCGCTCCGGCCGTCCCCGCTCCGCCGTTCCCGCTCCGCCGTACCGCTCCGCGTCCCCGCTCCGCCCGTCCCGTCCCGTCCCGCTCCCGCCGTCCCCGGCCTCGCCGTCCCGCTCCGCCGTCCCGCTCCGCCGTCCCGCTCCGCGTCCCCGCTCCGCCGTCCCGCTCTCGCGTCCCTCGTCCGCGTCCCCGCTCCGCGTCCCGCTCCGCCGATCCCGCTCCGCGCGTCCCTCGCGCGTCCCGCTCCGCGTTCCCGCTCCGCGTCCGCGCTCCGCCGGTCCCGCTCGCGCGTCCCCGCTCGCGCCGTCCCCCTCGCGTCCCGGCTCGCCGTCCCCGCTCCGCGGTCCGCTCCGCCGTCCCCGCTCCGCCTCCCCGCTCGGCCGTCCCCCTCCGCGTTCCCGCTCACCGCGTTCCCGGCTCCGACCGTTCCCAGCTCCGCCTTCCCAGCTGCGCCGTTTCCCGCCTCCGCCGTTCCCGCTCGGGCGCCGTGGTCGCCGCGTCGGGCCGTTTCTCCGCTCCGGCCGCCGTTCCTGCTGCGCCGTTCCGTGCTCCACGTTCCCGCTCCGGCGGTCGCTCCGCGTTCGCCGCTCCGCCGTGTCGCCGCCGTTCCCGCTCGGCCGTTCCCGCTCGCGCGTCCCTGCTCCGCCGTTCCCGCTCCGCCGTTCCCGCTCCGCCGGGTTCGGCTCCGTCCGGTCCCGCCGGCGTCCCTCCGCCGTCCCCGCTCCGCCGTCCCCGCTCCGCCGTCCCCGCTCCGCCGTCCCCGCTCCGCCGTCCCCGCTCAGCCGTCCCCGCTCCGCCGTCCCCGCGCCGCCGCTTGTTTTTTTCGTCTCCATTTCATACACTGCTGCTATAATTTTTCGTACACTTTTTGAGATTTTTGCGGTAATAATTCCGACGTCATCATTTTTGCTTATTCTCTTCTTTCTGGAGGTGTTAACTCCACTACAGACATTTTCAACAAAAGAATTGGTCGGTTTTTAACAGCATTCACACGGCAGCAACATAGTACAACACAAAATGACTTCCGTTCTCATTTTATCGTCAATCAAATGTTCCCTCCAATAATTATCACTGCGCTAGTCAAATAGCATGAAAGTGAAATTACAATCCAAATTATTTTAAGTAATATTCCACGTAAATAATTACTACTAATAAATGAAATTTAAACACCCAAGCATAATATAATATTAAATGCAATTTTAATGTATACAATCCAACGACAATTTACTAGATGGTCACTACATCGTTTGTTGACGTCTCCGTGATTGGTCAAGAACTCGTACCAAAATGAACACTGTATTGCAACGAATATCATTATATATGGGTTGCAGCTACCAATGAGAGGATTATATAATGGGAATAGAAAAGGTATATTATTTGTTTTGATCTTTGCGTTCATAACTTCAGTATGTGTCTGTGTGTGTGAGTGTTTTGTAATTTTTTTTCTGTTGAAGTTTACGATCCAAAATTGCTGCTTCGTTAAAAAAAACACATTTCGTCAAGAGAAAACAATTTTCGATTATACCAAATCTACATGAAAGTTGTTGAAACACATTTATTTTCCACCACTAAATTCGTTCTGATGTTATTAGAAAAATGTACAGAAATATAATCTACCAATGCCATCAATGTTAAAGCATCCTTACATGTAAAAAATGAAAATAAATGTACATTAGTCTCATTGCTGTTAACTTCAGTGAATAGAATTCAATTTGTGACGGAGAAACGGTACAAATATTATCTTCCTTTATGTCTCATTTGACAAAATCAATCTGATAGATTTACATCTCACATGCAAACATTTATTGTTTTGTACTGCGCATCGAATTGTACATCGACTCTTACTTTTGTATTTGTAAGTTGTGCTTTTATTGGAAAGAAAAGCGTTGAATATCGTTACTTGGATGTTGAAATGTTGTAGACTAAAACTCTCGATTGTTTTGTGAAAGTTCATTAAACTGTGTAGGTGGCTGGTTCAAGGGGCTTTGATACTCGTAGCCAGTGCGCTCAGAGGGCGACCTGCGAGTCGCTTATTAAAGAAGAGTCACACACGCGTGTGGTCCTTGGCGAGCGGACGTCGCAAAGTGGCTTCATTTGCGAGGGGGCATGGTCTGGACGGGGTCGGGGTCGGGGGCGGCGGTGGCCGAGCCGCAGGCGGGAGGGACAGCGGCTCGCACGTCCTAGCGGCGCCGGCGGGGACGGCCGTGGCGGGGGCGAAGGCGGAGGCGCGGACGACAGGGCCGTGCGCGAATATCGACCGCGGACCAGTTGAGCGCGCGTCGTCGCCTCGGCCGGGAGCATGGCTCGCCATGGCCGACCGGGAGCGGCCCTCCGCCTCCACGGTGCGGCGCCGCGCGGGCCGCTCGCGTCCTCGGCCTGAGGCACCACCGCCCCCGCAGCCCGACCCGCCGCCCCCGCGCCGCCGCGACTGTGGGCCGGAGCTGTCACCGCGAAAACGCAGTAGGTACGCCTCAGGGCGGGGCTGGCATGCTCCGGCGCGCAGCGCCACCGTCGCCGGCGGCACAGCCGGGAACCTTTCGTAGTTGTCAGATTCACCACCAGGAGCAGCACACGACTGTCGAGACTTCCCATAGTGCCAGTGAAGCCCGCTAGAGCGCAGTTGCTAGTGCGTTGCAGAACCCGGTAATATTGAATGCCCGGTGGGTAGTGGCGGGCGCGCCGCTTGCGTGTCCGCGGGCCGTCTCTGCCGCCTGCGGTTATTGCTGGCGGTGGTGCCGGCGTCGGGCCTCGAGCGCCCGCGCTGCTGCCGCTTCTACGGCCGCGCGCCCTGAAAGCGCTCCGCGTGCGCTGTTGCGGGCCGCCAGAGGCCACTTGATCGAGCCCGTTCCGCTTTGTGACCTCCACTTTATCAACAGCCGCGGGTCGATTCTTTTTTTTGCCTTCAGACCCCTATCTATATTCACGACGTTTCCCCACGCCCCCCGCGGAATTCGCAGGCGACGAATTGAAGGCGAGGTCGAGCGGTGAACGACCTGCCTTAGTAATAGTGCCGCAACCGTACGTTGTTTTGCTTCCCGTCGTAAAAGCTAGAGCCGATCCCCAGGAAATTACGTGGGCGCGGGCTGTAAAGCGTGCAAGTCGGTGTTGCAATTGCCTCTTCGTTGCGGTAGGCAGTTTATTTCCGTCCGCGGTTCTCTCCTCCGCTCCGCTGCAGCCGCGCCAGTCTGACGCCTCGCGAAGCAAACGCGCCGAACAAAGCAAAAAAAAACACGGCCGCGCCGCGTAGTCGCTGAGTCGGTGCTTCGCCTTATCTGAAACGACTTGCAGCGCGCTCCTCGTTAGCGGCGGAAAGTTCTGGAATGCCTTTTTGTCGCCGTCCGAGCTATCTGCGGAGGAGGCGGCGGCGGCTGCTGCGGGGTCACCTGGCCAGCTGATCGACGTGGCGGCAGACGCGGGGGAGGAGCAGGAGGAGGCATGGCGCACGACTACACGCTGCTTGGGCCGGGGCCTGTGAGGCGCCGCAGGTGCGTTTGCCAGATGGCCGCCCCCGCCCCTGCCCCCGCCCCCGCCCGCGATGCCACGGCAGCAGCAGCCGGAGGTGGCGACGGCGGAGGGGGCGGGGGAGGGGAAAGGAAAAGAGGCTCGCAGTCGCTCTCAGAAGCGAAGTAGTGGAATAGAATGCGAAGCACCTCACTTATCGTAGCGATTCAGCATGTGAAATAAAGTGCACGCTAATAACACTTTTTTATAATGATTTTTTTAAAACTAGATGACTGAATAGAAAATAAATTTCAAGAAATGCAACTAATAATATAGTACGCGAAATTTCATGAATGGATATTATTCCTGTTAAAGTTCGGTTTACCGGTTGAGAGAGGAAGTTGTGTTGCATTTCTGTAGCTGTAATTGGACATGATTTATATAATTGGGATTTTCATGTATTTTTTAATGTGTTTCCTTTTAGAAGTTGGGAACCCAAGAATACCTTCATTTTAATTCATAAGGTTAATTTGAATTGAATTTTATTTTACATGTGTTGAACATATTTGTAAGAATTTTACACATTCTTTACTGTTCAATTGAAAATTTCCTCTTATATCCTAATTTAAGAATAAGATCACCCCCCCCCCCACATATGTCATTAAAAATAGTCGTTATATTGAGAAAAATGTTCTTATTCATTAAATAGTCTAAAATGAAATATATTGCAACGTATTTAATCAAGAATGTAGTAGAGATGCATCCTTATATTTCTAGCCCAAATAAAGAGAAAGCTGCTTCGGTAAATAGAGCTATTTATTTAACGCCAAAAACAGGTAAAACTGGAAATGACGTATTGAGGGAAGTACAATCTCCACTTACCCCGGAGGTACTTTTCTTTTTATTATTTTTAATATCATTTTATAATATTATTGATTTTATTTTTATTTCGGCAGGGAACTTTTTTCTTTTTATCGGCGATGGATTAATCAATCCTAAACATATTAGGCGACAAACGTCTAACTAGATAGTCTAGATAGGACTTGATAACAACACAGACATAATCTTCACCGATATAAACTAACGTGTCATAATTTGCAAGCTCGGTCGACACCTATTTTCTTCGATTGTTTGAGACAAAGTTAAAATATGGGCTCGCGATTGACGAGGTCTTTACAATAGACGGCAAAATCGTTATTTGCCACACTTGCAAGATATAAATATGGTGTTCGAATAAATTCCAGCTGCAACAGCTTGTGCGAATTGCACTGCAGTGCGAAAACCAGCAGCTAACTGTATCAAAGAAGCAGACGATGCAAATGCAAGGGTTGAGTCAATGACCTCGGAGACTGCAAAAATATATCATTGTTCAATCTGCTGCCAAGCGTAATGAAATAAAGTATTACGCAATACAATTTGAATATAATGTGCAATATATGATATTGCTGGTTTAATTTTACATATTTTGCTACATATGTATTTCTATATTGGGATACTTGTCATTACACTAATAATCGCAGTCATTAAGAATGTCTGAGGAGAAGAATATGTCCTGTATGGCGAAAAATAATGCCGTATGTTCCCACGTTACACATAGCAGTTTTGTTTTCGTTTTATGATGTGTTTTGAAACGAAGATAAAATCTAGGTATTTTAGCTTTAATATAATGAATCAATATTAGTGTCAGAAATTTACATAATATTTATCATTTCAACTTTCCAGTGACAGCAACTTTTGTTTTGGTATTTCACATTCCTTTGAAAAAATATCAATTTTAGTAAGTTATGGTTATTTTCCATTTAAATTAAATAATATAAATAGTTAAAACCATGAGCACAAAGAGTTGGAAAGTTGAAAATCACAAATGCTCTTCATAATCATTCCGAAATAGTATTTTTCACATGCTCTCCATGTAGTTCTACAATTCAGTCGATCTTCATGAATAATGCGTTCAGTGTTAAAGCAAAGTATAGCGAATGGTTATATTGACTCGTGATAACCCAATGCATTCCATTTTCTTTTTTTCATTTTTTAGGGCACTAACTCAGTGATCGAAGGATCGGGTATCTTTTGAGTAAACATACTAACAGCTCAGTGATATGTTAATTGGTCCTACATATGAAAATACAACCCTCTTCACTACTGAATTCCGTATGGTCGAAATGACTTTTTTTTACGATGTTCATGGCAACGTTGAAACAAAAACAAAAAAGTTTAGTTTTCTTTTTGATAGATTCCCAAACAAGTCCTTTCGCTCATCATCGTATGATATATTATCGCCGCAAACGCCCCTCCGGATGATAGTTATGTAATCCGACTTACATTCGTTACGGAATGACTTTATACCAAATATTTTCTTTACACGGAGGAATTTTTGAAGTTAAATAAAAAACAGTGCACATTGCGGAGTTTCAACCAGTTTCTCTAATATCTTGTTCATCTAATATTTTTCATAGATTTTTCATTGCAAATTCATCGGTATTGCGAATAATAGGGCTATGTTATGTTTGGAATATATCGAGAACGTAGATGTGAACGAGATGTGTTGTAATTATTACAAACGATCTTTTTGATACTCTAAATCGCACATAAAATGGCGTCTTATGTCATAAATCATTACGTCATAACTTTTTTGCTACAACAATGAAGTCCTGTAATACATATTTGTTACGTGACACGTCTTGATACCAATTAAATAGCATAATATCGTGGGAGAAAATTAATGCAGACAATATCGAGACCACAAAGACAAATTGTAAGTTACGATATCAATTTTATTATTATTATTATTATTATTATTATTATTATTATTATTATTATTATTATTATGTCACATTCCTCAATCAAATATAACACACCTAGTTCATATTAAATATAATTAATCAACCCCCTGTTATATGTGGTTACGCAAGTATAACAGCCTATAATATTATATTTCTTTTCTTTCCATAACATTTTATTTTAGCATTAAAAACGAAAAACTAGATGACATCCCAAACTGATGGGCCAACTTTCGCGTAGTTCACAGAAGACTAAATATGTTTTTGGCATCTAGAACAAAAGGATAAAATGAGACGACCGTCATTTTTTCAAGAACAAATCACTGAAACAGCTTGTGATGGTGCTCGTTGGCTCGCATAAGAAACAACGTATACATATCGATCGCAACCTGTATCTGAAATATTGTACCAACATGTGTATTTAACCGCGACATTTAGAACATAATCGTGTACGGTCTCTGACGACTAAATCCCTTCTAATTTATGTCTCTCGATTCGTCATGCGACCCTGAGTGCTTAATTACAACGTAGCTGCGCTGAAGAAAGATGCCGGATATACTAAATATTTCCTGCTTGCATCTAAGATCTGACACTGGGAGAAAAGGATCTTGTAGACATGTCACCGCTCGCAAGACTGAAAAGATTTACAGGAATAAAATGATAGTCAATCTCTTTTTCACCTCGTTTTAACAGGACAGTCAGGGGTTTTTAAAATTTTATTTAATTTGGGTCGCTTTAGAATCAAGATATTATTGACCATATTCTGTATGTATCATACAAGTGACAACATTTTAAAAATTATAATAATGAATTACAATATTTTTACAATAATTTAAGTTAATTTGATAATAACAAAATATTAGGGATTTTGTTATACAACATTGAGAGAAGCTGCACTCTAGATCATCTGGTAACCTGTAAATCGTTCATCATAAATCCGTTTGTATATATCGTATTGTATGTATCCGTTTGTATATATCATATTGTATTTGTAGTCATCGTAAAAGTTATAAATTAATTTTCTGTGAAGTATATATTTTATGTAGTTACGAGTAAAAGTACGTCACGTAAAAATAAAAAAAAAAGTTCAATCGAAGAGGGGGGTCCAGAAACGAAGTGCCCCCCCCCCTTTTGTTTTAGGCTGCGTACGCTTATGCCCTTAAGGCATCGAGCCGCGCGGTTCGTGGCAACGATCCACTGCGTGGCAGTCACAGGCGTGCGTGGCGTGGGCGCAGGCGGCGTGGCTGGCTCGACGTCGGCACGCCAGGCACCGCGCCTCACGCAACGCGCTGGGCCCGCTGCGTCGCCCGCTGCTCTTTTCGTTGAGACGCAGTTGAATTGAATTGAATTAATGCCTTATTTTACGTGGCGAGACTCGGTCCATCAGGTCCGCTCTTCCGTCTGACCATGCAAATTTCGCTACGCTCCTTTTACCAACTAGCAGAGGAAGGAGGTATTTCTTGGGCGAGAAACAGGCGATTTTGAATTTAGCGTCAGAATTCAGAGGCGTCATTTAGGCTTGAGGGTCTTTTACATGCAAGTAAATCTACTAACATGGGACAGCCGGCTTTACTTCCCCTCCGAAGGAAGGCGTACGAAGGATTTTTGCGCCCTTAAAAATCCACGGCTTCGGGTTTGAACCCGCCAACTTGGGTATACCAGTCCAATACGCTAACCATCGCCGCCGCCGCAGTTGGGCTGCGAGGGGCCGCCACTTGGGCCGGCCGCGGCCGCGCGAGAGCCTGCCCAACCCAGGGGGCCGCCCCGACGACCACGGGCTGATTCAGGTTGAGAGAGCGCCTCGTCAGCTGCGCAGTCTGCAAGCTCTAAACGAGGTTAAGAAGTGAACAGTCATTTTGGCACGTCGTTTCTCTCCAGATAAGAAATATTTTGTTTCGGATGGAAATAGCGGGTCTTCGTATTGCTTTTAGATTCTCGTCTCTTGGACCCACAAAAAGGAGCGATCTGGCCGGAGTGAATAATGGACAGAAGATGACATTTTTTTTTTCATGTCCTAATAGAAGAAATTCAAAATTTTGTGTTTTTTTAATTCACTCCAGTGTTACTTTGTTAACTAACTGAATTATATACAGACCAATTTTTATAAAGTAAAAAACAAATGATAGATTATCTAACTATAATAGGTATTTTTTATCTTACCGAATATATTATTATGTATACGTGGCATAAAGTAAGTTTCATAAAGCAGTGTAGTGGGATATTATGAAATGTTTTAGTGAATCCCTCCGTCCGTCTGTGCACAA